GCATGGCTAAAGGAAGGGGTATGAGTATAGAGAATGGTTGAAGTTGACCCCGTGTAGTGTGTGGACGTTTGGTTGAATCTTTGATGTGATTGAAGGTATGTTTGTGGTTCGGTTTTTGGGTTTGACTGTCTGCGATCGCACACATATATATGGCTGAGAGGAGTCTCATTGTGACTGTGAGAAGTGATCGTCACATATTTATAACCCTTTATATATATATATATATACACATACGTACGCATTGAAAGTTCGTGCGGCCTACTGTGACCGTGCGGAAGGGTTAAACAGACTATGTGTTAAGAGAAAAAAGAGGTTTTCTTTTATCCTTTGCTTTTTAGAGTTATAGTTGGACGTTGTAGTCTGTGGCAGTCGTCAAAGTCAAACCCCTTGAGTTCGCTTCAGACCCTGGATAATTGAGCTGGTCTCTAGGGCGATAAGAGATAATTGTCACCACATGTCTGAACCTGTGTACCACCCATTCTCCAAAGGGTGCAAAAGAGAATGTGGTTCTCAACCAAACTTTGCGGTTGTCTAGCGTCGAGAGATTAACCCCTCAAGGCGCGTATCTGCCGACACTTGAGTGTCGAACGTGACCCTCAAGATTATCGAGGACTGTATGATTATAGATACTATATCATACGTCATCGTTGCGACCGTTTGCATAAACATGCACTGCTAGTCGATACGAGAAGGCCCTGCGTTCGCACAGTTCTATACTAAGTCTCGCGCGCAACGCATTTTCGATTTTTGCGTCAGAAGGTTATGGGATGACTACAAAAGGAACTAGGAGTGTTGTTGTGCTGTTTTGTTTTCTGTCGTTTTGTGTATGTGTATGTGTTATTTTTTAAGTATGGTGTACTAACGAGTGGTGAGTGGGATGCATCCTAGTCGACCGGCCACGAATCGCGCTTGGATTTCAACCCCTCAGTGCGTCGGTTCGCGTGCGGGTCCGATAGACATGTGGGACCGCACGTACCCCCTATGTTACAGCGTACCAGAAACGTCCTCGGGTGGTCCACCTCTGCGATTGTAGCTGATTGACTTTCGTACTGTCTACTTGTAACTCGACGGGGATACGACCACCAAAGGGAGGTGACAACTCTCGCAGATGGAGGTAAGTTGTACCTTGCGTTAGCCCTATCCTTTTGTAGGGGCTCACGAGAGGTATGGCTCGCGCACCCGGCCGGAGCGGGTTGCGGAAGCTCCGTTGTATCGCGAGTAGACCAGCTCCTGTGTGACGCGGCCGGGAGGGTCCTGCACTGCGCGGGACAAATGTGCTCGATAGCGGCAACTGGGCTTTGTGGGTCCCTTTGAAAAGAAAAAAGGAAAACAAAAGACCAAGTCCAATAAGGTCATGCACAAAGTTGTGCTCAGACCAATACTCACAAGAAAGTATCTCACTACCATTGTTGTCAGTTTCAGTTTGTCGTTGCTGTTTTTTTTTTTTTTTTTTTTTTTTTTCATGCCTTGCCAAAGAGGCATGGCGTAGTCAACGGGCTATTGACACTTTGCGAAGGAGTGTATGACCACACTATAACTTTGAAGAATGTATGAACCTGCTTTCCCGCCTTAAGTTCAGTTTTAATTTTTATTTATTTTTATTTTTTTTACTTGACACCCCTGCCGTAAAACCCTCACCGAGGGCATAGTAGCACAACAACTTTGGGGCAGGTATATACCTTGTATCACGTCGAGAGGGTTGTGGTTGTAAATACGTCGTTTTTTAGAAGTATGGTTATGCTTTTGTTTTTTTTCTTTTCAAAAGAGTACTAGAAAAGAAACACAACGGATCCCAGACTCGATAAAACTCGGTGCACAATGAAAATCAAGGTCAACAAAAATAGGCTTGGAGGTAATGATGGTTTAAATGACTTCCAATCTAAAAGTTTCAAGATTCTCTATCAATATCAAATTTTGGAGAAGACCAACAAATAATTAATATTTGATTTGTTTATCAGTGTTTGAGTTTACGACAATAAAAACAATAATTTTACAACACAAGTACGCCTCTTTTAAACAATTTTGTCAAATAGCACCTTTCACAAAAAAATGAATTGAAAACCTTTTATTTTCAAAGGTAGAATAGTGACACCGACTTAATTTGTTGAATCATATCTTTAAAGAAAACAACATTGTTAAGATTGAGCGATAACATGAAGTGACAATTTTGAAAGTTGTCTCATTTACAAATGGTTCCAAAAATCACTCTAGCAAAAGAGTTAGCCGAAGTAAAAAACCTTTTAAAAAAAAAACGTTGCCTCAAAAGTTGCTCTAATTAATTAATGTTTACAATTTTATTATTTTATTGCACTGATTGTTGTCGTCCTGATGGGATTAATAAAATTAAGTTATTTTAGTTTATCATTATCTTAGCGAAGTTCGAAAATCAAATTATTTTTTTATTAATTATACAAAAATAATAATGAAAAGTAAAAAAAAAAAGGTATCATTTGCAAAAATTTATGATTTAGCTATGCACTTATCTGACAATATGATACAACATATTCTTCATCATTTCAAACCATAAAATGTCGGACCTGCGTGCATAAAATATACGAACAATGACTCAAAAGACATCATTGACGAACCGATTGAGATAACGTTATCTTATATGAAAACTCGCCTTAATAAAAACCTACAATGTAATATCTGTTGATAATGCTTGTTAAACATTTATATGCTGTAAAACCAAAACTGAGTCATTATAGTATCGCATGTAAAAAACAATAATTGAAACAGATACATTTAAAAAAAAAAAAAAATAACAAATCACTATCAAGTACAAAATGCTGGTTGATAATCTTTATCCCTGGAGTGTCGATGTTACAGTATTTAAGATTAAACCGAATTTTGATAAAATCGATTTTGTTCGGGTGAATAGTGTACGAGATAACTTTCTTCATCCTATTAGTAAGGAATTTAAACAACATGTTGTACAGAGTAGTATTGAATACAATGGATATATAATGTCTAACCTCGTTCTTATGAAGCAAGTTTACTACTCATGAAAGTAAGTTGTGGAGAAATATCCCACTATAAAAAATGTTGTTTAAAAGCATAAAAAATTGACGTGCGATGTATGATGATATAACTTTAAACATGGACAATGACAAACCATGAATATTCGAAACTTTAGTGAGAGGCAGTTGTTTGATTGTCGTTCCGTAGAGTAAAAGTCTGATCCAATAGTTGAGATTGTTGGTTAATTATATGGAACTTAAAAGGAAACTATATATCAACCTTAGCATGAACTACTTGAGCCGCTAATAAGTATTCCCCCAGGGGTGAATAAATCATGATAGAAGAGGTATAAGGTAAAAATAAATTTAGTGTCCAACACCGGCTCAACCTATTTGTTAAAAGGGTGTGTGTTGGAAGGGTGAACCATGACCGTAATTAAATGGGCCGTTTTACTTTTCTCAACTTTTTCCACTTGAAAATAAGTTTAGTGGTTTAGTCACCGTCTTTCAACCGTTTGAGGCTAATCTTTTTTCTAATATTCTTGCAGCTTGGTTTTGATATGCAAGGCACTCTCTTCAGTACAAAGTTTTAAAAGTTCGGGCGAAAGAGAACAATGTGACGGCCCTAATAACGCCCCATGCACAACATGCCAAAATTGCCTTCAACAACTCTTGAGGCTAGTGGACTTCACGTGCCCTCTCAGAAGCCCAATGTGACAACATTTCTATCGAAGAGGCGAGCAAGTCCTGAAATTGTTCCAAAGGTTTAAACCGCTAGTACCTTTCCCAGGCAAAAAAATATTGCCCGCTGGTTAACATGGAGGCCGGCCCCGGGCACGCGCCCCAACCAGACCCGTCCCAAATGCTTGGCACTGAGGGCCCACATCTGACATGTGGGAAAAGCTCCCCAAGTTTACAACCTGTCTTGGGAGCCCGCGGACGGGCAGAGCAGTCTGCCCACCACTACTACTCAGCCTATACTGGGGACCCCTGGGGCAAGGTCCCACTTGCCCAAATTAGGAGATTTCGGCCGTTGATCTTTGCTATCTACGGTCAGTATCTCTTAATTCGTGCAAGCGGGACCTAGCCCCTGCAAGCATAACGGCCTTTTCTTTCAAATCCCACTGCAATCTTTGCGGCCTCCCAATAGCTGTTCAAAAAACAGGAGCAGGGCGCGGCAAACCCAAATTCCGTTGGAAAAACACGACAACGAAAAACCAGCCAGATTCGGCGGCAGGGCCCCAGTACCGGGGCTTGATCGCCTACCAGTAGAGCAGTAGCGCGCCAGCGCACGAAGTGTGCGAGCTTCTGCAGGCTTCCGTCGCCACGGTCCCCCGGTTGTGACGGAGCACAACTGTGCCGCAGTGCGGAGTGCGGCACTGGTGGCCGATCAGTGCACGGGCGGGGGAAGAAGAGAAGTGAAAAGCAATGGCCATGAACTTTTGGGAACTCAGGACGAACAACACATGCCTCCGAACATGACTGCAATTGATATTGATAGACACAATACGCAGCTGACTGTCGTGTTCTGGAGTTCAAAAACACGACTGCGATTGATATAGACACACAATACACAGCTGTCTTTCGTGTTCGGTTGAACTCAGGACGCGCACATCCATTGACACGTGCCGACCAGAGGCGCTCCGGCCATCTCTTCATGCACTCGGGTCCCATCTGACAAAATAACCTGTCGCCAAGAAAGTGAGTGAAGTTCACATTCTTCTCTCGGGTACCCTCGTCTTCTCTCCTTCTCTTTTTTTTTTAATTTTTTTTTAATTTTTACTTTTAGTCGTCTCTCCTTCTCGTTTCTTCCTTCTTGTGTGTTTTTGGAACCAAGTTTCTGCCATCTCTTCTTTTTGTTTTTTTTTGCCTTCTCTGTTCTCCAGCTTCTCATTTTTTTTCTCCTCCTGATATTTTATTCTCCGTCCTCCTCCTTGGCCTCCCTCCCTCCCTCTCTTCTCCTCCTCCTTTCCCTTCTTCTTCCTCCTCGTGTTCCTCCTCCTCCTTATTATATCCCTCTGTTGTCATTCTCCTTCATCATCATGTTCAGCGTCATAACACGAACACAATCACGTGACTCCTCATCACCATGATCATCTCGTCAGGAGTATCGAGCAACAACTTCTCTTCCTCCTCCTCCTCCTCCTCCTCCTCCTCCCCCTCCCTCTTCTCCCTCTTGTCCCCTCTTGGACCTCATCTCCTTTTCATCTTTGCCTTCACCTTCCTTCTTCCTCTTCTCCTTCCTTCTCCACCTCCCTCTTCTCCCTTTTCTCGCTCTTCTCCTTTTCATCTTCGCTTTCTCCTTCCTTCTCCTCCTCCCTCTTCTCCCTCTTCTCCCTCTTCTCCCTCTTCTCCCTCTTCTTCTTTTCATCTTCGCCTTCTCCTTCTCCCTCTTCTCCCTCTTCTCCCTCTTCTCCCTCTTCTCCATCTTATCCTTCTTCTCCCTCTTCTCCTTTTCATCTTCGCCTTCTCCTTTCTTCTCCTTCTTCTACTTTTCATCTTCTCCATCTGCTTCTTTTCCTTCCTCCTTTCCCCCCTTCTCCTTTCGTAAATGCACAGCAATAGCAGGTATCGATGCCATGGGGACAGAGCTGCCGTCTTCCCGCGAATAGAACGCCCGGTCGTTATAGCTGTAACTGGGCAGCTTTCAGTCTAGATTCAGTGATAATCACCGGACGACGTTCTGTTTCGGTGAAAAGGTAGTGCGCGGTGTGTATAACCGAGCCATTGCTGTGTGGGCTTACCAAACAGTGCTGTTTGCGAATCAAACTCAACTCACGAGGCTTCTTCTCTTCGATTATCCGAGGGTTTAGAAGTTCCTTTTTTTTTTTCTTTTTTTTTTGTGAAATTCCTTTTTTTGTTCTTCTTTGCTTGGAGGCTTTTTTTATTTAATGGCCGATCGATTCGATCTACGACCCAGCCACCTCGAAGTCGGGGCTCGCTGGTTCACATCTGCTGGAAAGTACTGAGGAAGCGAGAATCGATCACCCGCCCGATCTACGCGCTGTTCTTTCTCTCAGGCGGAGCTGCCACCTTCACATTCTCTCGCTGCCCAGTGCAGCCATGGTGGTGGTTTCCTTCTTCATCTTGTCGTTAAGCACCATCACTCCCTTCTCCTCTTTCGGTGTGTGTGTGTGTGTGTGTGTGGTGTGTGTGTGTGTGTGTGTGTGTGTTGTGTGTGTGTGTGTGTGTGTGTGTGTGTG